TCTATATGTTGTATGTCTTGTGTCCTTGCTTTGGCCTCTAGTGGTTTTAAAATTGGTATAGATGGTGCCTATAGACATTGGAAAAAAAAAATCTCCATGCTCTGCTCCCCGCTCTGGCTCTGGTGAATTCTCTCACCCTCCCGCGCTTCTGACTGTACCCAGTGCATGTATAAACAAACAAATAAATAAAAAACATGCCTAAAAAAAAAAAATCTCCAGTTATGAGGAAGAACTAAAGGTTATGGTTTGAGTGTCGACATTGTATTACTGACCTGAACTGGAGCTTTCATAGAGATTAAATATTGTTGTTCCTGCTGTTTTTCTGATATCTATGACAGCTTCCTAGAAAATCAGGCCTCCCCTGGTGGCTCAGTGGTTGAGTGCTGGGCTGCGAAGCTGTCCGCAGCCTCTGCGGGCACAGTTCGATCCCCGGCCACCAGTGAGCGTCCCACATGGTGTACAGACCTCTCCTGGTGCGCCCGCTGCTCCCCTCAGCAGTGTATTTTGTCAGTCTGCCTGTTCTGTTCCCTGCTCTGACTGGTGAATTCTCTCACCCTCCCGTGCTTCTGACTGTACCCAGTGCTTGTAGAAATAAATAAATCTTAAAAAAAAAAAAACTGTCTTAAAAAAAAAAACGTTCCCAGAAATGTAAATTGAAGTAAAATTTGGTAGTCTGTCATTTGGTTGATAAAAGGAAATTTTGTGGAACCTCAGTAGAGCACCTGAGACACTCCACAAAATTTCTCTTTTTCTTCTGGGGAGAATTTGTCCTATTTGGTTTCCTCAGTAAAGAAAACTGGAAGGGAAGCATCATCACTTGGCAAAATGATAAAACTTCGACATGTACAGAAATGTTAACACTGTTTTCTGAAACTTGTGTAAAACCTTTCATTACCTATGTATGTCAATTGCCTGTGTTGATTGTTGTCCCACAATACTGTGTATGTCAATGGTTTGGTATCTGCAGAAATTGTTTTTGGAGAAAAAGACCCCACAGGATTCCAATTAATGGAACTTTGACAGTGAGAATTTCATACAAAGGACTGAATAGACTGGTGAAGAGAAACCTGATTTTTACTAAGTTTTGGTTGAAATAATGCTGGTAATTTTGTTTGCATTTTGTTTTGATTCAAAGGAAATTTTCTCATTTTGACCAACCGGGATAGGCAGCGATATTGCATTGTGTTTCCCAGCAGAGTAACTTGTGCTTGCGTTTTCTCTCCCCTTGATACCAACACAGTATGAAAAATAGTGGTAGTAATTTTCAGTGCTCATGGCAGAGTATTTTTGCCTAACTTCAATGGGGAATTTTGCTTAAACTAGAAAATTGGAAACATGTTCCACTGAGTGGCTTTGATTGGAATTCTTCCAGGCAGTTGAATTTGAGCTGAACCAGGAAGAGAACCTGCTCTTTTGTTTGTAGGGTTCCAGAGTCCTCCAGAGATGGTGAGGAAGCTGCCTCCATTGGCAGGACTGGACGCCCGGGAAAAAGCAAAAGACCTGGTAAACCTTGAGACGAGGACACACCAGGTGGACTCTGGAGAGACCAACTTCGTTCCTGCGCAGACCAGATGTCAAGAGTTCACTCTGATCCTATGTGGGGTATTCCAGCACAGCCCGCTAAAACTGCTGTTGGTTATGCTGTCCGATGTTTTATGCAAAAATAGGATAAATGGTTTAAAAGTAGATTTAGGTTTTTTGGTTTTTTTTGTTCTTGCTAAACAGCCATCTGTGTTTCTCCATCATAACTTCTTTTAAGTTTGTGGCCTTTCCTGACTCATCTTGCAATGTTTTCCAGAGAACTTGCCCACGTGGAAGAAAATGCACACCACATAATGACTTTTTATTTCCCATGAATCCCTAATCAGGTTCCTTTGTTCACAACCAAGTAGTTAAAAAAAAAAAAAGATTTAGTTTGCAAATTTTCACTATATTGTTGGATAAAGTTGGGGTCAAGGTGGACTAGAACTTTAAGATCAGTTAATCAGTTTTTAAGATTTTTTTTTTTCTTCTTCTTGTGATTTTGATATTTTTGCTGTTTTGTTTTGGCTAGTGCCTCCCGATGATTTTCTTTTGGCATGGACTTAATTCTCTTCCAGGAATAGAGGACTTTTGTTTGCCACACTTGACGAAACCTGGAGACTGGTTTTTGTTCTAAACTGGAACCCTGAGAAATTATCATCTGAGCCTGAATCCCAGCATATACACATCTGACCTTCAGCAACATAGAAATGGGGGCAAAAAATGAAAGGGGGGAATTGTTGGGGAGAAAGGACGCCCTGAACAAACTCCACTACACAGGTTTATGTGGACTCCTCCCCCCCACTCCAGACTAAACACCGGGAACTACAAATCCCATAATGCAAACTTCATGGAAGGAAGGATTGGAGGGAGCTGAGGGTGGAGTTAAACAGGCCCGGTTTAACCTGATAGGTGGACCTTGGGGGTTCGCTTGGCATTTCGCCAGCTCTCTGTATGCCGTGTGGGCCCCGTGTGCCATGAGGGACTCCAGCTCTATGGAGCTAGTAGGATGCATTCACCAATTTATCTCCCTCTCCTGGAGTTCTTCATTCCCCCTTCTTTTGTAAATAAACCATTTATGAACCTTTCTGTGTGTCTGTCTGCAGTTCAGTCTTAAGTTGTCCGGTGAGGACCCACAGTCAGGCAACCCATTTTATATCAGCGTTACCCTGTAACATGAATCACAGGGAGGACACAAAAGGGGGAGCGTGATGGAACTCATCACTTCATTGAGAACTCACTCAGTATGTTTATGATTTGCATGGGAATATTAAGGCTGAGTTAAAGAACAAAACAGTCAGTATAGGGAAAGAACAAATGGTGTAGTTGATTTATGCCAAAAACTCAAGGTACTACGGGGAAATAGATGCTTTACATACGGAGGGTGTTTAGTGGCATGGCAGTTGTTAATCGACTGATATTCGCATTGCGCTCCGGAGTATCTAGGTGTTAGATTTTACTAGGAAGGCGGGGCGGGGCGAGGGAGGAGGGGCGGGGCGAGGAGGAGCGGGGCGAGGGAGGAGGCGGGGCGAGATCTGAAGCACAGAGCATAGTGGAGCAGCAGGCACAGAGAGGAGAGACCTTCTGCTGCACCACAGGCGCTCTAGCTCCATGCCCCCTTGCGGGGCTAACTCCCATGCTCCTTGCGGGTAGCTCCCTGGTCGGGGCTCGAACTCAGGCCGCAACGGTGAGGGCACTGAGACTAACCCCTAGGCCATCCTGGAGGCCCCGCCAGAGGCTTAGTTAAATGGAGCCTTTAACCTTTATTAGGCAGCTTCAGGAGAACTACTGACAGCTGCTCCTCCAGCAAGTCAGAAGAGACTGCGGCTGCCCTTCCCTTCCCTCAGTGATCATCACTGTCTCCTCCTCGGGCCCGTGGGTGCTGAGGGAAGATGGCTTTCAGCGGCACCTCCATGTCTTCATCGGTGACAAGAGGGGGCAAAGTATGGGGATTTTTCAATTCTAAAACAAGTATTTTTCATGGATGAATCAGAAGAAAAACCTACACAGTTCAGAAAGTAATCAGGATTGTACTGATCCTGAAAGATTTCTTTGGTGATGATCATGTGTAAAATCAATATTTAAAAGTTTCTAGAGGGCCTCCCCGGTGGCGCAGCGAGCGCTGGGTTGTGAAGCCTCTTGGTTCGATCCCCTGCTGCTCCCCGCCCACCGGAGGAGGGTCACATGGCGCGCGGACCTCTCCTGCGCCCGCTGCTCCCCTCAGCAGTGTACTTCGGTCCTTCTGCCTGTTCTGCTCCCCGCTCTGGCTCTGGTGAGTTCTCTCACCCTCCCGCGCCTCTGACTGCGCCCAGTGCATGTATAGAATAAATAAAATATGTGCCTCTTTAAAAAAAAAAAAAAATGTTTAAAAAAAAAAAAAAGTTTCTAGAGATTTAAGTCTGCAGACTTCTGATGTCCTCATAAAATAATGAATGCTCTGAGCGAGCTGAAGAGACTCAAAAAAACAAAGTAAATAATCCATTCACAAAATGGGCAGAAGAGCTAAAAAGAAACTTCTCCAAAGAGGAAATGCAAAGGGCCACCAGGCATATGAAAAAATGTTCAACATCACTTGCAATCAGGGAAATGCAAATCAAAACTACCATGAGATACCATCTCACACCAGTGAGAATGGCAGGTATTTAAAAAACTAGCAACAACAAATGTTGGCGAGGATGTGGAGAGAAAGGAACTCTCTGCACTTCTGGTGGGAGTGCAAACTGGTCCAACCACGATGGAGAGCTGTGTGGAGATTCCTCGACCTGCTAAAGACAGAGCTTCCGTAGGATCCAGCGATTCCACTCCTAGGGTGTTTACCCAAAGGACACAGAAGCATCAATTCCAAAGAGCACCTGCACCTCTATGTTTACAGCAGCACTGTTTACAATAGCGAAGCTTTGGAAACAACCCAAATGCCCAAAAATAGATGACTGGATCAAGAAGATGTGGGACATAGACACCATGGAATATTACTCAGCATTCAAAAAAGATAAACACATGCAATTTGCAGCAACATGGATGGCGCTGGAAGGGATCATGCTCAGCGAAATAAGCCAGAAAGAAGACGAAAAACACTGGATGGTCTCACTCATAGCAGGAATTTAGAAACCTAAATAAAGGACCAGGAAAAAGACAAATTATAATAAAATAGAAATCAAAATCAACAAGCAACTACAAACCAGAGACACACTATGGAGGGAGGGAGGTGAGGAGGGATTAGGGTCAAAATGAGGGGGGTGGGAATTGTATGGGGAATATAACCAAGATGAAAATGTATACATTGTACAAAAATGAAAAACGATGTAAAAATTATATAAAATTAAAAAAAAAAAAACCAAAAAAATAATGCTCTTAGCGGCTGGGTTACATGCACTGCATGGTAGCCTGAGAGTGAGCAGACACCGGGGGCGAAGTAGGTCCTTGACTGTGTCACTATTGCTGCTTAGTGACAAGAATTCCCGCCGCCTTCTGACAACGGACAATCTTTCATACACAACATCTGCGTTTTCAATCAGCACCTTGAGGGCCTGGAGCATCAAGCTAGAAGCTCTTACAGGCTGTCCTTTTGGGGTTCTGTGGCGGCTTCCTAACATGGGCGTGATTGATGAAATCACTGGCCCTTGATGATGATCTCAAGCTACATCCTCGCCCCCTCACAGGAAATACGTACTGATCTCTCCCTCTTACACTGGTATTGTGTACCTTTGACAAATACATACCTATTAGATCAAATACGCATAAAAAATATTTTATTTACTGATGTTTATTTTTCCTTTATTTACCTACATTTAATTTAGTTTATGACTATACAGTATATAATTTATGACTATATAATTCTCCTTTCTGAAGGGATTCTCAGCATAAGCTGAACCATGATTATCTATTGAGTCAATAGATTGGACAGACACAGCAATCTTTGATGGTGTGATAAAAGTGAGATATTTGGAATCAAGTAAAAACAAATCTGTAAGGCACAAGTAAGTGACACAAACAGATGTTGACTTTCCTTGTTGTACTGACTCTCATCTCTTAATTCACATCTCTGGGCCTCATGAGGGGCTACACAAAACCAATGAATGAAAAGAACTCAATTCTGAGAGATAACTTTGCTAGCAGAAAAATGACCCGCTGCCACAATGTGGCGCCATTGCTGCTGCTCTGCAATCTCTCAATAAACACATCTGCAATTGTGCACTTATTTTTTCTCTGTATTTCTATATTTTAAAAATACATTGTTGTACATCCTTGTTAGTTCTTTGTTAGTGTAGGATTTCTCCCCTCAAGTGTGGTCGCCATAGTTAACCTACCAGCAAAAGACCTGTAGTTCATGACCTTAGTCTATCCTTTGCACTTGTTTTCTTCACGTTGTATAGAAGAAATGGATTAAGTAGAAGACGTCATACATTTCTGGGCATTAAAGAATAGTTTGAGTGGTTGTTCAGAAACCTAGAAAAAAATAAGATCGAAATACTGAGGATAAGTAAGCTTGGATGAAAGATAGGTGTATATGATGAAGTAACTTATATCTTGAAAACCAGGGAGTCATTTTGTGGCAGCTGATTTTATCAGAAGGCTTACATCTTGGAAGGTGCAGTGATTTATCTCTCCATATCCTCCAGATATTTCTTAGCTCGTAAGTGTCTTCTAGTACCACCGTCTGAAAATTACAGAAGCTTGGTTAACAACATGGGAATTCACATTGCATTGCCTTAGACTAAAAAGAATAATTTGGACTAATAGGCATATAGCAATCATTGGTGTGACATATGCAGGACCATCAAGAAAGTCCAGACTAATAAGAATACAGAATGATCAATTAAACCAGCAAAGGGGCTGGCTGGAGACAGTACCCTGAGGAGCTGAGCACAGTATATAAAACTAAACTATTGGGCTATTTATGGTGCTGTATCCCCAGCAGCTAGACTACATGTGTCTGAGAGTTAAGGAATAGAAGTATGATGAGCTCTAGTCACCATCATTCATACTGACTACTTAATGTAATTTACACTTCTCATCTGTAAAAGTTAATTTCACTGGAATAAAAATCTTGCCTCCATGGGGTGGGGGTGGGAAAATGATTTTACAAGACATTACAATGAGAATACCACTAAAGTTAAAGATACAAAGGGCTACATATTTTGTGCATTAATGCTGGCATGCTAAATAGGCAAATAAAAGATTTTATCTATTGATGATGATCTAGTTGCCATAATTGTTTGATTAGTAATGATCCTGCTCACTGTGACAGGTGGGGGAACTCACATTGTGAGTAGGAAGAGCTATTTTACGACCTGAGGGACGCCTGATACTTATATGCCTGAAATAACTGAACACTGGTATTTGTCACAACCATAACCCGATGGGTATATCCCAACTAAGTCTTCCCAAGAGGCAATCAATGAAGACCGGTAGAAGACTGGCTGAAGCACAGCGGTACAAAGTAGAATGAGTGGGAACGGAGAAAAATGATGTCAATTATGGCAAAGTTTCAACTGGAGCAGAGGGGGCTGTGTCTGCTCCGCTGACACTCTTCTGCAGCGACCTTTGTGGTGATCGAGGCACTGTACAACTATGTCGGTCGTCTGATTTAATATGCACGGTATGACAAGGGAGCGAGCAGTGTTGGTCTATGTTGAAAACATCATGTCCCCGCCTCTTAGCTCTGTTTCAGCTGCTGGGTTTGGGGGAGGTTGTTTTGTGTGTGTTCGCTTGTTTGGTAATTAGAAAACGTAGGATGTCTCTTGTGTTGAGGAAGGCAACCACGAGAATGTGAGCACTTGTTGATTCAAAGTTGGACCTGGGATATTAAAGGCGCTGTACCTCTTCTCCCATCAGTATACATTCTGTTTGCCTTCCTTGCTCCTAGAAGCTGCCCAAGGACATATGACTGAAAAAGAAAAATGTTTAGACAATTTAGACAATACAGGTGATGACATAAACTTTTCAGTTTCGGTGATTACATTAACTTTTCAGAAAACTCCTTGTCTTGTAGCTGACCAAGACAAAGTTTTGTAAGTACGTACCATTCATTATTAAAAATGCCACCTACCAATATTCTAAGATCTTTCCAGGCCCTCCATGGATGGCAGTGGTTTCATATCACGCTTAAAAAATCTCCTGAGGTTGTGACCTGTGACACAAGCACAGAGAATTTGCAAAACTATGAGACATGGCAATATGGATGGGTACAAAATGAAATTGTTTCTACGTTTTCTTATATTTTTGGCATTTTCAAAGTTGTGAACAGTAAACTTTATATCTGTTCAAAACTTGTTAGGAAATTATTTTACTAAACATTTCAACTATAAAGACTCATACAGTTGGAAAAGTTATATAGTGATCTCTTGAATAACCAACATTTACCCCTATAAAAAATTCTGGAATGAACATAAAGGATTACACACTGATTTCTGACATCTTACGTTTTTCTCTAACCACTGAGAACAGAATGATTGTACGACTCCAAGACCATCCTCCAGGTTGTAACCTATGTGACTTTTCTGTCTGTAATTGTGTAACGAGAAAAGCCATCTACCAACATCTGTTTTGAAGAATCCATAGCTCTTAGCTTTATATCATTATCTTCCTAGCAAAAAACCTGAGTATTTCAGGACTATTAAAATTATAGCTTTAAACACATTACCAAACCACGATTTAAGGTCTGCTAACACCTATGGGAATACAATTGGCTCGAGTTTTCCAGTTGAGATCATGGTCAGAGGTGTGATACATGCCAGAAACCTCAGAAAAACACATATCCACACATCAGTCCACCCTTTGCCACAAGGAAAAAAAAAAAAAAAGGAAACAGAAGACTAGCAACTGTCCACCTTCTCCTAAAGTCAAGGCATTACCAGTTCCTCTGTGCAGACTAGGTTGTCAAGTTCCATGTCTGAATACACAGAAATGCACAGGTCATAGGTGAAACACAGCAGCAGACAACCTGTTTTAAAGAGCAGGTTCTCGTGGCATTCTCTTTGTACTAGATTTGACCATTATTAAGTCCCAAAATATCCTAAAATATAACTGTCCAAAATTCTTCAAAGCATATCCTTGAGGAAACTGGAATGTATCACTGTTTCTCACTAAATGAAAACTTGAAATAGAAGTAAAAATAGTCTTCTACTTCAAGATATCATAGAAATTAATTTGTCGATGTCATTCACTGTGAAGTTTCAACACCATTTGAATAGACTTTGAAAAATTTTATTATCATTTATAACTTTGGGGAGAAAAGCTACAGAGAATCAGATTAAACATTACAGCCATTGTTTTAAAACGCTCATTATTGTATCATTCTGCCCTGATATTATCTAATCATTTTATTATTTTTACTAACATGAAAAGGACCTATGAACATATGAGTCAAACCAAAGCTAAACTGTGAATAATAAAACAAAGTTAAACATTAGGTCTTCCCACATGCATAACTCTTACTCTCTCTACTTGATATTATTTGTCTTTTCTTTCATTTTTGAAAAGTTTTATGAGATGTAATGGATATAAAATAAGCTCTGCATTTTGGCCAATTTTATTGAGGTGTAATTTACATAGCACATCATTGTTTATTTATTATCTTAATGATTTCATATATGTGCACATTGCATAATGATTACTGCAATAGATTTAGTTAACCATCCTCACCTCATATAGTCACAATTGTTTTTTCCTTGGGATGTGAACTTTTAAGAGCATGTTTATCAGCTCTTCAGTATACACTAAACCACTGCCAACGATAGTCACCGTGCTGTTCATTAAATGCCCAGAACTTATCTATCTTATGACTTGTACCTTTTGATCATTACCATCCATTTTTCCCACCCCTAGTCAATACCCCTACAGTATTTGAAAAACTATGACAAGTGGCAATATCGGTGGGTACAAAATGGAAAATTGTTTCTATGTTTTCTTATATTTTTTGGCATTTTCAAAGTTGTGAACAGTAAACTATTTGTATCTGTTCAAAACTTGTTAGGGCATTATTTTACTAAACATTTCAACTATAAAGACCCTAATCAATACCCTAGTCAATACCCCTGGCAACCACCAATATTTTCTCTGTTTACGAGTTTGGGTTTTTTGGCATTCCACATTAAGTGAAATCATACAGTATTTATCCAACTATCCATAAATGAACACTTAGGTTGATTCCATGTATTGACTGTTGTAAATAATGATGCAGTGAACAAGGGGAACAGATACAGTGATTTCATCCATTTGGATATGTACCCAGAAGAGGAATTGTTTGTGAGATTGAACATATTGTATTTTTCAAGGAATTGGTTCATTTCAGGATTATCCAATTTGTGGACAGACTTGTTTATAGTTTCTTCTCCTTCTCTTTCTTCTTCTGTAATCCTTTACAATTATATGGAACTTGTGACACTTTATTTTCTCAAGTTAGCAGACTGTGCCCTACTCTTGTCTTACTGAATCTTGTTAGAGCCTTATACATTTTACTGATCTTTTTAAAGAAATAATTTTTGTCTCCATTTATTTTTTCCATTAATTTCCTGTTTCCAGTCTCACAAATGTCTGCTCTAGGCATTATTATTTATTTTCTTCTACTTGCTATGGCCTTACTTTTGTCATCTTTTTCTAGTTTCCTAATGTGGAAACTTGTATTATGCATATTACATCTTTCTTCTTTTTATATCAATTCAAGGCTATGAATAGCCCTTGGTACACTGGATTCTCTATATTCCACATATTTTGATAAGTTGTGTTTTCATTTTTGCCCAATAAAAACTATTTTTTACTTTCTTTTGAGATTTAATACACAACAATAAGTAAATAATTAAATAAGTAACTGGGGTGTAGGTCAGAGATGAGGGGCTGAGAGGATTCACCAGAGACAGAGTGGGGAGCAGAACAGGCAGAAGGACCAAAATATACACTGCTGAGGGCAGTGGGGCACCACTGGAGAGGTCTGCTGTACCTTATGTGAGTTAACTCCCTGGCAGGGATGGAACTCAGCCCCATAGGGGTGATAGGGCTGAGATTAACCCCTAGGCCACCAGAATGGGCCCACCTGCTGTTGTTAGATGAAAAATTCTATAGCTATCCAATTAATTGACACTACTGTTGAGTTCCACTATGTCTTCACAGAGTTTTTCCTCTGGATTTGTCCAGAATGGGTGTGATGGGTGTAGAAATATCCAACTCTGTCAGTAGATTCATTTATTTCTCCTTGCAGTTCTTTCAGTGCGCTTGATTCTCATTGATTTTATGCAGTGAACTTTTCAATCTCAGACATAGCAATTTTCATCTCTTGAATTTTAATGTGTGCCTCTTTTATATAGTCTATATCTCCTCTTAATGTCAATCTATTCTTCGGCTTCTTGAACACACAGAATTCAGCAATAATATTTGCTTTCATGTCCTAGTTTACTAATTCTGCCACTAATGTCATTTCTGGGTCTACTTCAATTGATCGATGTTTGTGTTTTCCTCTTTTTTAAAAGGTCTCGTAATTTTTAATTGGATGGCAGGCATTTTAGATTTTCACATTGTTGGGTACGGTATAGATTTTTGTTTTTACAAGCATTATTGAGTTTTGTTCAGAAACATGTTGAAGTTATCTATTAACATGTTGATCCTTTGGGTCTTATTTTTAGGTGTTACTAAGTGGTAGCAGAGTTGATTTTCCTGAAGTCAATTTTCCCTCATGGTTATTTAGGTTGAAGATGTCAAATGCACATTTCAGAGAGTGGGAAGATCGTGTTGTCATTCTTCCATCTCATATAACACTTAATCATATGAGCCCATGAAGAATGACACAGAGCAGTGTATTTCTGCAGACAGTAGTCCCCATTCAGTGTTGATTAATATTTAAATTCTTTTTTTAAGGCTTATTATGCATACAAGAACTCGGGTACGGGTCAGAGGCATGGGGGCTGAGAGGACCCACCAGAGACAGAGTGGGGAGCAGAACAGGCGGATTGACTGAAATACACTGCTGAGGGGAGCAGCAGGTGAGACAGGAGAGGTCTGCTATGCCATGCGGGTAGCATCCTGGCTGGGGACTGAATGAATGCAGTGCTGCAGTGGCTGAGAATAGCTTCATAGTGGTGCAACTTAACCCCTTGCACCACCAAGGAGGCCCCCGACGTTTAAATTCTTAATGTTTGACCCATGTTGTCATTTGCTTAATGCTTTGTGGTGGATAGATATAGCTAAAAATATCCAAAGGGCTGACTTGGATAACCTAGAAATAGATTACAATATCTAAAAACTGACTGATTTTTTCATACTGGTTAAAGTGCTTGACTCTTGCTAGAAGCAGATTTCCATGTTTTAAAAATAAAATGCAGATTTTAATATTGCTCTGAAATCTCTGACACTATTTTATATGCCAAATGTGCTTGCTTTTTATATTGCAAATTTCTAAAATTATTCTGTCATTTTGCAGTCAAGGATATATCTGTGTAGTGTAATATAATCACAAACTAGCTAAAGACCAGGCCCATCATGTCGTCCTATTATTCTGTATGTAGGTTTAGGTTACTTCTAATGAAGAGATTAATTCCACATATTCAAGTTAACAGATATTTATCAGGCAGGTTTATGGGATGGAAATGCTTACAGATCATCCAATGCTTACAGATTGGAGAGTGGTATGAAATACACTTGTAATATATTTTCTTAGTTATTTTTATCTGTTAGGCTTATAGACCTATAAATAAAAGTGGTGGGTTTCCCAAAGGAATTAAGATTCAGCTTATGAGTTTATTTTATGTAGCCTTCATTCTACCTGTACAACACCTCAAGTCCTAACACAGGCAAATATAAAGCAACATCCTATCTTATTTTATTAGTGTATTTTACAACAATTGTGCTGCTGCACCTCCCCCTGCAGTGACCTTTAGGGCTAATGGCTTTCACCAGGGTCCCTAGGTCCGGCTGGGCAAGGAACCAGCGCGCAGGGGAGTACAGCAAAGTTCCCTGAAGACATAGATGAGACAGACCTATCAAAAGATAACGACCACCAGGAGCCACCACAAAAATGCTGACCAAAAGGAGCCTTATCTCGTCTCCTCAGACCTACAAACTTTATCCCT